ACACTTGACTAATTTTTATATTTTTAGTAGAGATGGGGGTTTCCCCATGGTGGCCAGGCTGGTCTCAAACTCCTGACCTCAAGTGATCTGCCTGCCTTGGCCTCCCAAAGTGCTGGGATGACAGGCATGAGCTACCATGCCTGGCCCACTTACTTATTCATTGTTAAGAGTATTTATCATGCGCCAGGCATTATTTTAGATGCTAGAAACAGCAGTAAACAAGACAGACAGTCTCTGTCCTCACAGAACTTATAATCACAGAACTTATAAACAGAAGCAAAACACACATCATTTCTGGTTGTGCTAAGTGCTGTGGAAAACAAAGCAGAATCAGAACCACTTTAATGTGAGAAGGGTTGGTATTTCTGATAGGGTAATCAGGGAAGTGGTATTTCAGCAAGGACCTAAAGGATGAGAAGACACAAACCTGCAAAGATCTTGGAGGCAATGCTCCAAACAGATGAGACAGCAAATGCCAATGAGCAGCAATGAGCTTGTTGTGTGGGAAGAACAGCAAGGTCAGCAAAGCAGGAACATGCTGAGTCCTGAGAGTGGCAGATCACATAGAATCTAGGGAAGAAAAGAGAAACTCTGGGATTTTTTTTTTAACAGAGGTGCAATCTGGTTTGTAGTTTTAAAAGATGATGTTGACAATCTCTGTGGAAGCAGGGAGACAAGTTAGGAGATTACTGCATTGTCCAGGCTGGACATGTTGGTGGCTTGGACTAAGGGGGAAAGGGGTGAGGTGAAGAGAAGCAGTCACATTTGGGATACATTTTGAAGGCAGAGCTGGGACTGCTGACTGGTATGAGGAGAACAAGAAGAATCAAGAATGACTTGGGTTCTTGGCTGCTACAACAATGTGAGACAGGTGCTGATGGAAAGAGAGAGGCCTGGTGGTGAAACAGGTTTTGGGGATGAACTCAAGAGTTTAGCTTGGACACATTAAATTTGTAATGACTACAAGTCAAGTGGAGACAGCAAGTAAGGCTGTTGGACAAACAAGTGTGCATGAAACTTGGGGACTGATGAGGGCTGTAGGTATGTATGCGAGTCAGTCATGTGTGGACAGCATTTAAAGCCTGGGGAATGGATTAGACCACTTAGTAGAGATAAAGAGGAGAGGGCCACAGACTTGGCCTCAGAATATAGATGTCAGGAAGAGGAGGATCAGGACACAGAAAAGGTACAGTCAGTGAAGTAGAGAAAAGCAGGAGATGATAATATTACAAATCAAAATGAAAAAAAAAGCTTTCAAGTATGGACTGCTCCACTCAATCAAATGCTGTTTAAGACTACAGAAATGAAATTTTTCCAGGCATGTTGTAGCTCCTTCCTCCCAAGCTCCAGCTCCTTAAAGGAATGAATGAACCCTATCTTCTGATGGGGGTTCTATATCCAGGCTTTAATGCCAGAGATATGGGCTCAATTGCTTATAAGTTGTATAAGTTGTATGACCTTAAATAAGTTACTTAACTTCTCTATACCTTGATATACATCCTCTACATACCTATCACTAAACGCCCAAGTGAACTACTCCAGTAGTATCTCACATAAACATCTCATTCTGCTTAAGGCCAGGAATTTGAGACCAGCCTGGGCAACATGGTGAGTCCTCATCTCTATAAAAAATTTTTTTAATTAGCTGGACGTATTGGTGCATACCTGTATTTCTAGCTACTTGGGAGGCTAAGGCAGGAGGATCGTTTGAGCCCAGGGGTTCAAGGCTGCAGTAAGCTATGATTGAGCCAGTGCTCTCCAGCCTGAGTAACACAGTGAGACTGTCTCAAAAAAACAAAAACAAAAACAAAAACAAAAAAACCTTACTTTATCACTTTTGTGATTTAACTTCTTTATACCTCTATACCGAGATCCTTTATGACTGTCTTAATTGGCCCAAACAGGATTAAGGTTATGGCCAGACTCAAACAGGACTGTGTCTGAATCTGACCTCTACCACTTTCCATCTGTATAACCATGGGCCAGTTTCAGAATCTCTGAGATGCTCCTGCTCTGTAACATAAGAATACTATATACCTCATCGATGGTGGGTTATGTGAAGATTAAGAGATAATGGATACACTTAGCAGAATAAAGGCTCACTAGACAGTACTTATCATCTTTGTATCTGTAACACTAATACTCTTCATGTTCGTGGACTGATAACTTGAGAAAGTAAGATACAAGCCAGCTCTCCTTTCCTCCTTCCAGAGCACTAGGGTGGAGAAAGGGAGCTACAGTCAACTGTTACTCACACCCAGTAACTTTGGAAGGGCCAACTAGGTGGATTATCAATATCACAGAATATCACTGATTATTCTGGAAAATAACAGGGATGTCCTCCTCCTCCTGCAAATTTTGTTGAGTGGATCCCCACTATTCATTGCAGACACTCAAGCCAGAAATGCTTGAATTCAAGCATCATCTAAGAGTCTTTCCTCTCATCCCTCTGACATTTTATTAACAAGATGGCAATTGATTGTACTTTCAATGTGCCATGCTTCATCAAATGTAAGATGCTATCTGTTTTGATCTTTTTATGTAGCTCTAAGAAAGAAAAAATGCCACGTAAACTGTGACATGCCACTGACTTTTAGAAGTGTCCAGGTTTAAGATACCAAAATGTGGGGGGAAAAAGTATACCTTGCAATTGGTGAAATACAGGGTCTCTCATTCTACCACTGCTTAGTTCAGACTCCCATCATCCCTTGCCTTCATTAGGGATGGAAGCTCCTGTCTTCCCTCTACCCAGCCTCTGCTGCCAAAATGATGTTTCTAACAGCCAATATTACCAACCTACCCAAATCCTTCCATTAGTTCTTCTCCCATAGCCCCCAGTCCATATTCTCCTGTTTAACTGGCTGCAATTCCTCACATGTCGTATCACTTCTAGTCAATGTCCCTTCCATATTATTTTTTGTCTGGAATGTTTTTTCCTTCCCCTCTTCATCTATCTCCTAGCTTTTAGACACAAGGATTTTCTAGCCGGGACATATCTCACTCCACCCCTCCTTGTGGCCAGGACTGCTTTGGTTGATATGGCTTAAATGGATGTCCCTTTCTTCATTCACAAATAAACTCCATCCAAAAATGAACCCTACCCCAACCCCCAAAAGACAAACTTCCTATGAAAGGGCAATTGGAGCCTCCAGAAAGTTCTAACTTGTATGGTTTTCAACACCAAGCAAGCATCAGCTCCTCCAAGAGTCTTCCCAAATTCTCCAAGCTCAATAAGGAACCCCTCCCCGGAGCTCCATAATATTCCACACATACTTCTATCACACCCCTTCTTAGAGCATCTTGGAGTTGTTAACTTGTTTCCTTCCCTACCATACTGTGAGCTCCTTGGAAATAGTGATTTCTTATTCAGCTCTATTATTCCCCAGAATCTGGAACCTAGAAGGTACTTCATACTAATGAAATTATCAGGTGAACGGATGGATGGGTAAATGAAAAGTGATTACTGTATATAATCACTGGGTCCTAGTTTCCCATTCTCAGGTGCCCCAAATCAACTCACATTGCCACTAGCCCTTCCCAAGTGTGGTAACTGGCTTAACCAGGAAAGAGCAATGACACCCCTTGGTGGTCAGTGCAGGGAGTACATCTTACTGAACAAAAGGAAGTTTCTCTCTTTTCAATCACTGCTGTCCCGTTAGGAAATGTCAAGAGTGAGGGAGATTTGCATTTTCAAATGATCAAGCTGATGACTGCATGCAGAATGGATTGGAGAGGGGATAGAGGAGGAAGCAGGGATGCCAGCTGGGAGGCTGTCTTGTTAGAGTTGAGAGTGAAGTGCAGATCTGTGACTTTGACACCATCACACTTAACCACTTTGTAGTATTGCCTTTTTTACCTAGAACTTTCCTTTCTTCTTCTCAACTGAGCCCTGTGGCAGACAGATTCTAGCATCTGTTCAATGATTCAGTGATGTCTGCCTTCTGGTATACATGCCTTTGTGTAACTCCCTCCCTTGAATATGGGCTGGCCTAGTGGCTTGCTTCCAACCAACAGATTACAGCAAAGGTGATGAAATGTCACTTCTGTGATCAGACTACATGAGACTGTAACTTCCATCTGGCTAGCAGACTCTAATCCTTGTTTACTTTGCTTAAGAAAGCTGCCATGTTGTAGAGGCTCGTGTGGCAAGAAGTGAGGGCAACCTCCAGCCAACAGTCAGCTAGTGGAACCCCTGAGGCCAGCAACCCTTGAGGGTTGTCAACAAGCCTGCTGCGGTGGCTCAAGCACCAGCACTTTGGGAGGCTGAGGCAGGTGAATCATGAGGTCAAGAGATCGAGACCTTCTGGCCAACATGGTGAAACCCTGTCTCTACTAAAAATAAAAAAATTAGCTGGGTATGGTGGCGTGTGCTTGTAATCCCAGCTATTTGGCAGGAGAATCGCTTGAACCAGGAGGCAGAGGTTGCAGTAAGCTGAGATTGAGCCACTACACTCAGGCCTGGCAACACAGTGAGACTCTGTCTCAAAAAACAAAAAAAAAAAAAAAGAAAAGAAATTCTGCTAACAATATAAGTGAGCTTGGGAGCAGATCCTCCCCCAGTCAGGACTTCAAATGAGAACAGCCCTGACCAATAACTTGATTTCAGCCTTACAGGGTTTCAGAGAAACCATGAAGCAGAGGACCCAATGAAATGGTGCCTGAACTCCTAACCTATAAGCTCTGAAATAAATGGGTGTTGCTTTAAACCATTAAGTTTGTAGTAATTTGTTTATCTGATAACTAATGAAGTACCTATTCAAAATTGTCGTCATCATGCAGGTGAGAACCTTCTGAAAACCTGGGAAACTTTCTGTAGTCAGACTCCACTACTGTACCACTCACGTCTCTTCCCTCCGACTCTGCAGCACCCCAGCAAAAGACCTCTGCAGCTGAGTCCAAAGAACATTCCCATGTGAACCGAGCGACCAAGTGTCATCTGAGTGAGGTTCTTAGATTCTAGCCCCATCCTGTGCGAGGCCTTAGGTAGACCATTTACAGCTCACAAGAAATGCAGTTTATGAGGAGAGACCATGAATAATGGGGGGGGGAGGGTATTACCAAGCAGATCAGCATAACGAACATCCATTCCCAGAGAGAAACTTGGGCTATTGTCAGTTCAAGGACATCTCTCTCTGTTCTTTTACAGCATATTGCAATAGATTACAGCCATGCTAAATCATCCATAAACGAGCTAATTCCACCGAAGACAGGAAAGAAGGTAGAGTCCTACAACAGCCTAGTCGGAGTAAGAACTACAGTAATTTTGCCAAAGGCCCTTAAGTTCTTGAATAATTCTTGTCAAAATGAATTTCAATCTGAGTTAACTCACAGTCAACAATTTGGCTGTTTTTCTTGTTTCTCACTCTACTGCCATACTCTCTTCCACAGTATTTTTAAGTAGCCATTTAAATGGGTTTGTTCTGCTGCAGGTGGCTGAGCCTGGGAGCTCCTCCTTGGGAGACTACACAATGGATTCTATAATGATTAGTGGCAGCATCCAATGTCTCTTCCAAGTCTAAAATTTGTGAGTTTCAAAGTTGACTCTCCCCAAACCTGGCCTTTGCTGCTGCCTCAGATTCTCATTCACTCTAGCAAGGCAGAGAGAGCAAAAGGGGCAAGACAAACCTCATCAACAGCACAGAAATCCCAGAATCACACACTCTCTGGTCTAGCAAAGCCAAGTGGTTTTTTTTGGGGGGGGGGGTTTAATCACCCTCCATTACCCAACATTCTCATTCCCAGATGAATTTTAAACTGGAGTTGCACCAACTGTGAGACAGCCTCAACCCCAACGTTAAATACTACCAGTTACTAAAAAAAAAAAAAAAAAAAAGACTGAAAACAGTTCTCTCTGGAAAACGATCCACCAACCTTTTTATGGGAAGAAGAAAGTCTTCTCTAACACTTTAACTTAAGGGAAGAAGTGATGGAGAGGAAGAAGGAAAGTACATTGGCCAATACTCTGAAACTGACTGACTTGGGTATCTGTGGTCCAGAGAGGATCCCGAAAGACAGTGACTCTGTCTCAATGATTATTACCATCCCAATTAAAAGTCAAAATGACAGCATTTACATTTACACAGGGTCTCTTTCCAGGAAGTTTGTGATTCACCTACATGTCCTCAATTCTCAAGATAACAATGGGGTCAACAAGGAGGTGACAGCCAAGTCCTGTGAGAGCTGTTTGTCAGAGCCCACTCTCAGTGAGTCAATCCCTGGAAGTTGGGTTCAGTGCATGGAGGCAGGGCCACTGACTGGCTTAGCAACTTGTCCATCATGCCGATTTTAGCATCTTGCTTCTCAATGTCCTCATACGGAGTCCAGGACAAGTCATGCTGTAGCTTGTAGGCACCAAGGAAGTCATGTGGACAACTTGTCCCCCATTCCTAGAGAAGGCAAAGGAGGCAGTTCCCATCAGGGTGGGTTGTGAACAAACTGAGCTCGTTTCCTAATTATGCCACAATCTCTTTTTCGGCATTTCACTTCATACCAGTCAAAACAATCTTTGGAAAGCAGTTACCTTACACATCAGATCCCTCCCTTGAGAAAATGAGTGAAATAATTTAAGCACAGGTATATTTTTTATAGTCATGTCTGGGCTCACATCACCCCCAGTTTTCTAAGAAACCATATACCAATCCACATGTCTACATTTTCACACATATACCAAGAATTTCTCAGAGGCTGGAGTAGATTTTTGGGCAAACAATGTATGTTCTTACCTTTGGAGAAATGATGGAAAAATACTGCTGACCACTCTCCCGTTTATAGAGGTAGTAAATGTTGCCAGGTTTTTTCACCATATTACAAGCTACATGGTGCAGGTCGGCATCTCTGTGAGCATCTTCCAGTACCTATGAATCACAGATATGTAACGAATTAGGTATTGGAGATAACGGGCACCCATATTCAGTGATCATCCCAATTAAAATTTGGAAACCATTCAATGCTTAGGATCTTGGTCCCCAATAGCAATGAATCACTTTTAAAATCCAGATTACTCTGAAGAAACAAAAATTAGACTATGCTGCTATGCTGTAAAAAAGGCTTTAAAAAATTATATTTCAAGCCAGGCACAGTGATTCATGCCTGTAATCCTAGCACTTTGGGAGGCCATGGCAGGCGGATCACTTGAGCTCAGGAGACCAGCTTGGGCAACATGGCAAAACCCTGTCTCTACTAAAAATACAAAAAATTAGCCAGGTGTGGTGGCATATGCCTGTACTCCCAACTACTTGGGAGGCTGAGGCAAAAGGATCACTTGAGCCCAGGGGGCAGAGGTTACAGTGAGCTGAGACTGCACCACTGCAGTCCAGCCTGGGTGATACAGTGATACCCTATCTCAAAAAAAAAAAAAAAAAAAAAGGTATTTCAAAATGTTGAGCAATAATGACTCCAGGTAATTTTTAAGTTTCTTTCCTATTTTTCTGTGCTAAGTACATTTCTTTTATAAATGAAAACATATTCCCCTGTTAAAATGCTTTACCTCATGAAACCACCTCCTGGAAAAAACAAAACAAAGGAGGCTGAGGCAGGCGGATCACCTGAGGTCAGGAGTTCAACACAGGCCTGGCCAACATGGCGAAACCCCATCTCTACTAAAAATACAAAAGTTAGCAGGGTGTGGTGGTGGGCACCTGCAATCCCAGCTACTTGGGAGGCTGAGACAGGAGAATCGCTCGAACCCGGGAGGCAGAGGCTGAAGTAAGCTGAGACCACACCACTACACTCCAGCCTGGGCAACAAGAGCAAAACTCTGTCTCAAAAACAAACAAACAAACAAAAAAAAACTTATACTTAACCTCTTAAGCTTATTCCTTCTATTTTACTCAACACCTACCTCTACATTTCTAGGAGGCACTAAAGACATAAAAAGTCACAATGATTATAAACAAGTTCAGCCAATCGTGAGAACTAAATAAAGAAAATGAAAGCCTAACAGTCATTCCTTACCTTCCTGGCTTGTTCCTGCAAATGTTGGATTTGCTCAGCTATAACTGTCAGCTTGTTGGTGGCATTTGCTCGGATGAATTCATCAGCCTACAGGTGAGAGAAAACTAAACTGTGGGTTGAAAGAGGAAAAGACTTCTATGATGTTCTTTTCTGGATCCCAGTGAAGAGGTCTATGCTAACATTTTGCTTCTGCCTAAAATATTTTTCCCATTCTCTCCACTGCCCCACAGCCTCCCACTCATCCTGAGGCCCCACTCAGATAGCACTGTCACGAGAAGGCCACCCTGACATGACTCCACACCACAGTTACATGCTCTCTTCTATTTCCCATAGCTTTCCACCCTTTCACTATGAACTGCAGTTACACTGAACTTCTTTGGTTCTCCAACATGCCTTCTCTCTTTCTCTCTCTCTCTCTCTCCTGCTACCAAATATATTGAATATACCCTCTCCTCCAACCAATCCATTTTTCCTCCTGCTCTTTACCTAACAAACACCACACATTTCTCAGGTCTCCATTATCTCATGTTTAAACCCTTGTGAAATCAGGGATGGATTTTAAATAATTAAAAGACACTTGTGATCTGGCCCTTATCATCTGCTAAGGTAGAAATCTAGATACACACAGAAAGTATTCGGGTTTTTCTATGTGACCCCCACACCCCCAGAACTGAGAAAGTATGTGTTAATCTGACCATTTCCTCAGTTATTTACATCACAACTACTTAAATTTTAACTTATATGTGCATTTCTAATTATTACTTAAAACGTATTTTAAAAGACTGCATTATGATGTGGACCTGAAATAGAGTTATAATGTGCACACAAGACTGCCTGTAATGTGCCACAAAGTGCAACTGAAGGCAATGGAAATTTTTTTTTTTTCAGACAGAGTTTTCGCCCTTACTGTCCAGGCTGGAGCTCAATGGCGCGATTTCGGCTCACTGCAAACTGTGCCTCCTGGAGTCAAGTGATTCTCTAACCTCAGCCACCCGAGTAGTTGGGATTATAGATGCCCACCACCATGCCCAGCTAATTTTTGTATTTTTAGTAGAGGCAGGGTTTCACTATGTTGTCCAGGCTGGTCTCGAACTTCTGACCTCAGGTGATCCACCCACCTCGGCCTCCCAAAGTGCTAGGATTACAGGTGTGAGCCACTGCGCCCAGCCAGGACACTTCTTAAAATAGATCAAATTCTCAAAGTTAGGAGAGACTAATGTGATCAATTCATGTGCTGGGAAGGATTACCACTCAGGCAATAGAAATCTGTCAAAAATTTCCAGCTTACTTTTACGAAAAGCTGATTATACACAATTAAGGTAAAGAAATGAGGAAATTAAACTAGAACTTGAACTAAAAAATATTAAAGAGAATTTGTTGGTTAGTTGAAGAGTCTTACGGCAAAATTCAGGTATAAACCAGTGTTATGAGTGAACAGAAACCATACAAGTAAACTGAGTCATTTATCTGTCCCACAGATGTATATTAGGCAGCTACTGTGTGTCAGACACCACACTAGGCACTGGGTGTACTGGTTAACAGGAAAGAGAAATTCCTGCCTTTAAGATGGCAAGTCAAGTCTAATATAGTTTAACAGAAATATGAGGCAAGTCGCATATAAAATTTTAAATTTAAATTTTCTAGTAGCCATGTGAACAGTAAATTAATTCTAACAATACTTTTTTTTTTTTTTGAGGCAGAGTCTCGGTCTGTCACAGACGCTGGAGTGCAGTGGTGCAGTGGCTCACTGCAACCTTCACCTCCTGGGTTCAAGCGAATCTCATACCTCAGCCTCCTGAGTAGCTGGCACCACAGGCATGCGTCACCATGCCCAGCTAATTTTTGTATTTTTAGTAGAGACGGGGTCTGGCCATGTTTGCCAGGCTGGCCTCGAACTCCTGGCCTCAAGTAATATGCCTGCCTCAGCCTCCCAAAGTGCTGAGATTACAGGCATGAGCCCCCGTGCTCCAGCTAACACATTTTATTTAACCTAATATATCAAAAACATGTTCATTTTAACATGTAATCACTATTTTTAAGTTGTTAATGAAATATTTTGCATTTTTTTGTTTGTTTTTGTTTCTTTTTTTGGTCCTTTGCAGTCTAATCCACATTTTGCATTTGATATTAAGCCTTCAAAATACAGTGTTTATTTTGTACTCACAGCACATCTCAATTTGGATGCTAAATTTTCATCAGAAATACTTCATCTGCATTTAGACTTAATAAAATTTATATGTGAAAAAGTTGATTCACATACTCAAATTGTTCCAATATACTTGAGTTCCAATACTTGAAGTAATTATTGTTTTTAAATTCAAATGAATTAAAATCAAATAAAATATAAAATTTGGTTCCTCAACCACACTAACAACATAACACAAGTGCTTAACAGACATAATGTTGCTAGTGGGTACCATATTTTAAAGCACAGCTCCAGTGAGTAATAGATACCAAAAAGTAAACATGATTAAAGTTAATATTATATGTACACATAATAACAATGCACTATTATGAAGCAAATAATCACAATTATGTGGTGGAAGCAGGTTAAAGATAACAAATAAGTAGAAAAGCTACTTCATTTTTATGAAGTTTAATAATAGGGAGTGGTGGGGAATTGGAAAATATATGTAGCCTAGAAGTATTTGAATTCAATTTAATAATACTGTCATTTGGATGGGGTAGGGTAAGGCCTTTTTCAGACAAGGCCTCACTAAGGATGTAACATTAGACTTGGGTCTAAATGAAAGGAGAGGACTGACCATGAGAAAAGCTGGGGAAAAAAAAGTTTGCAGGCATTTGAGGCCAATGCAGTTGAAGAGTAGTTAGTGATAGGCAATGTGTAGAACGGGGTTAAAAAAGAGAGCAGAGACCAGATCGTGCCGTCTTGTAGCCCACGGTAAAAGAATTTGCATTTTGTTCCAAGAATGAAAGCCCAGGCACGGTGGCTCACACCTGTAATCCCAGCACTTTGGGAGGCCGTGGCTGGTGGATCACGGGAGGTTGGGAGTTTGAGACCAGCTTGACCAACATGGAGAAACCCTGTCTCTACTAAAAATACAAAATTAGCCAGGCGTGGTGGCACATGTCTATAACCCCAGCTACTTGGGAGGCTGAGGCAGGACAATTGCTTGAACCCAGGAGGCAGAGGTAGATGTGAGCCAAGACAGCGTCATTGCACTCCAGCCTGGGCAACAAGAGTGAAACTCTGTCTCAAAAAAAAAAAAAAAAAAGACAGAAAGAAAGGAGGAGCCATATATGGCCAAAGAGACAGTAGGTATTTCCAGAGCTAAGGTAGTTCCAGGTTAGGGGTAGCCTTATAATAACCCTCCCTTTTCTTAAGGTGCTAGCAGTAAATCTCGTAAACAAAATTTGAATTTATATTTTGAAGAGTTAATATAAAATGCAAAATATGGATTAGGCTGAGGTCCAAAAAAAGGAAAAAAGAAACAAAAAATGCAAAATATTTCATGAAAAACTTAAAAACAAAAAAGCCTCATAAAAAATAAAGGAAGAGAAGAGTACCTACAACTACTAAGCACTAACCCTAGCCTCAACTACTCTGAGGCCCTTTACATTCATCTCATTTACTTCTCACAACACCTTTATGAAGTTGGAGATGATAACCTCACTTTCTCATTTTAGCAATTAAGACTCACAGACATGAGGCAACCTGTCCAAGGTTTCACAGATAATAAACAGCAAAGGATCTGAACACAGGTCAGTCTGATTCCAAAATTCATGCCTTAATACCAGGCCTCCTGAGCTTTCTGAACACACACCAATACCTGGGTGAGTCCTGCTAAAAAAAAATACTTTTTTTTTTTTTTTTTTTTTTTTTTTTTTAAGACTCGCTCTGTCGCCCAGGCTGGAGTGCAGTGGTGTGATCTTGGCTCACTGTAACCTCTGCCTCCCAGGTTCAAGCAATTCTCCTGCCTCAGCCTCTAGAGTAGCTTCAGACTATGGGCACACACCGCCATGCCCAGATAATTTTTTGTATTTTACTAGAGACAGGGTTTCACCATGTTTCCCAGGCTGGTCTCCAACTCCTGAGCTCAGGCAATCCTCCTGCCTCAGCCTCCCAAAGTGCTAGGATTACAGGTGTGAGTCGCCACACCCAGCCTCATTTTTTTTTTTTTTTTAAGAGTCTCACTCTGTCCCTGATTCTGGAGTGCAGTGGTGCAATCTTGACTTACTGCAACCTCTATGTCCTGGGCTCAAGCGATTCTCATGCCTCAGCCTCCCGAGTAGCTGGGACTACAGGCGTGAGCCACCACACCTTTTAGTAGACACGGGGTTTCACAATGTTGGCCAGGCTGGTCTCGAACTCCTGACTTCAAATGATCCACCCACCTTGGCCTCCCAAAGTGCTGGGATTACAGATGTGAGCCATGGCACCTAGCCAAAAAGTACATTTTAGATAGTAAATATGTTTGATTCAATTTGTTTGTCTCTAAAGTTGTTTTTTTCTTCAGCTTCTCAAATACAGATTGTATTGGGGAAACAGAGGCAGCATAATAATGCATCCTCTGTATTTCACAAGATTATAGGATGAAAGGCAAAAACTGTTCTTTATTCCATCTGTTCAGGCCATTGTAATAAACATGATAGTCATTCGACAGCACATGAGTATGTTGTGTGCACAAGATTCTACCCCTATCAACCTCCCTCCCAATAATAGTGATCTGGTTAGCATATTCTCTTAATCCATAAAAGTTGCACTTTGCTCCCCAGTTCTTCAAAAAGAAGAAAGCACAAGTTTTGAATTAAAACAGCTTTCCTACGTATCTGAATTTTTCTTAATTAAAAAAAAAAAAAACGGATTCGAAGGATTTCTAGGATCACTGGGAAAAAAAAGACGTGAGGGAATTTGAGCACATTAAATAATTTTGAGCAAAGCAAAGACCTTAGAACATAATCAAGGCTAAATCTGATAGTGTATACAGGGATAAGGGGCCATCATAATCTTTAAAACAGCAGGACCCTCCATCTGTGCACACTGAAGAGGGTGTATAACTGGAAGTCTTGACAAGAGATAAGAAGGAATCTGGTTTTTCATTGAATAATGACAAAGCTTTAGATCTTGGAGCTCTCCTACTTCAAACCTTTCACTTCACAGATAAAATAGTTGAGGTCCAGAGAGAAGTAATCTGCCTGAAGTCGCACTGCAAGTTTGTATCAAAAGTGGGATTAATATTCACGTGTCCAAACTTCCAGTGTTTTTTCCATTATTTCACATTTCCTCCTTATTTGACTTATTTTGGTCATCCATATAAAAGCACTGGGCTTGGGAATACTATGTTTAATAAGGACTAAACTCGAAGTCCTTGCCCTGCTAGATGTTTAAACTCTCAGTTAACAAAGATCTTATGGGAAGCAGCTTAAAATAAGCGGACCTTGAAACTTCCTGGGGAACTTTTCTTTGTCAAATGGAAAGAATAACTCTGTACTGCCTACCTCACAAGGCTGTCCTAAAGTGCAAATGAAATAATGAACACTAACGTGTTGTGTAAACCTTCCCACGAAGGGAGATTATGGGCACTCATGTTGCCGTTAGAGGAGCTTTTGGTCACAGAAGGTCATTCGAGTCAGGCCACCGACTCACAATGACAGTCGGCTTTACTCGTCTGTAAAATGGAGACGAGCAATTGCCACCCCCACCCTAGGTGGTAGTGAGGTCTGAGCCGAAAGACGCAGAGCACAACGTGAATGAAGACGGTTATTCGCTGCCCCGGTCGCGCCTCCTCACCTTCTGCACCTGCTCTGCGAGCGCCACGAGGTCTAAGGGGTCCCCGGCCCGGTGGGTGTGGTAGGGGCTCACCAGGGCCAGGCCGCCGGGAGTCGGGGTGAGCTCCACCAGGGCTCCTGCGACACACAGCCAGGAACAGGCCGTGAGCTCCCGCCCTCGGCCTCCCGCGGAGCCCCGAGACCCGCTGCCTCGCTGGGGCTGACTTTCCCTTGCTGACTCCCGCCCCGCATACCTCCCTGGCCTGCAGCTGGCTGCGGTCCTTGCCTTTCAAGGACCCCCTCGGTCCTCCCGAGCGCTGCGGCGTCCTCCATGACAGCGACTTATCCTCCCCACTCCCTGGGCGGTGCGAGTCGGGAGAGCCTGCGCATAAAGGTGCGTGGGCGGAGCTTCCGTATTTCTTGTCCACTGGGCTTCAGAGCGACTGAGCAAAGCCTGAGCTCGGAGGCGGGGCTCCGGCTGACGCGCCGGGATTCGCTGAGGGCCGGTGGGGGTATCTGGGTTGACTGAAAGGAAAAGAGGCGGTGCAAGCCTCGTGGGCATGCGCCGCCCGGCTTGGCAGGTGGGGCTTCGCCCAGGGGCGGGCCTTCTCCGGGGGTGGGACTCCGGCCTCCGTGTCGGGTGGCTATCGGTCCCGTTAGGTCTGAGAGGACGATGGCGGCACGCGCGTTGAAGCTGCTGACCACACTGCTGGCTGTCGTGGCCGCTGCCTCCCAAGCCGAGGTCGAGTCCGAGGCAGGATGGGGCGTGGTGACGCCTGATCTGCTCTTCGCGGAGGGGACCGCAGCCTATGCGCGCGGGGACTGGCCGGGGGTGGTCCTGAGCATGGAACGGGCGCTGCGCTCCCGGGCCGCCCTCCGCGCCCTTCGCCTGCGCTGCCGCACCCGGTGTGCCGCCGACTTCCCGTGGGAGCTGGACCCTGAATCGCTCCCCAGCCCGGCCCAGGCCTCGGGCGCCGCAGCCCTGCGCGACCTGAGCTTCTTCGGGGGCCTCCTGCGCCGCGCCGCCTGCCTGCGCGGCTGCCTCGGGCCGCCGGCCGCCCACTCGCTCAGCGAAGAGATGGAGCTGGAGTTCCGCAAGCGGAGCCCCTACAACTACCTGCAGGTCGCCTACTTCAAGGTGCAGACCAGCCCGGAGCCGGGCGGCCGGGGTCCTTCTGGGGAGAGGAATGTTGCAGGGGACCTGGGGAGCCAGAGGGATCGGGGAAGTGTCCGCTGGGAGGGGAAAGTGGCCTCCTGGCTGGGGAGCTCTCCTCGGAGCCGGGGAGAGCTGCTCCCTGGCAGGAGACCTTCCTCGCCCAGTTCGCATGGGCAGTTGCTAACCCCAGAGGTCCAGCCTGGGGTTAGGGCACAGGCCAAGCAAAACTCATGGCCATTTTGTTCCCTGGGAAATCTCCTGCAGGGAATTAAAGCGGTAGTTTGGGTCTCCCATCCTAATGTCATTTTAAGTGTCCGACTGAGAAGCTAGTAGCAGTCTACAGTATGTTCCTTCCGGTTGGTTTTCCAGTGGTGCTTTTCCTGCTGTTTGATTCAGCAGCTCTGTTTCAGGATGTGAGGTTGCCACGTCGCCAGCAGGGGCTGCCTGGCCCTGCCTGTCGGGGGGACCCTCTGGCTAGTCTGTCAGGTTTACAAAGAACATGAGTATTTTTAGGAATGCCAGCATGCCATGTTTTCAAGTGTACACTTGGGCTTGGAGCGTTCCAGGCTTGTTTGGTGGTGGTGATAGTGACGATGATGATGATGATGATGATGATGATGATGATGATGATGATGATAATGATAGCCAGCACGTACTTCAGGCAGTATTTTAAGCAGTTTGCCTTTATTAACGCATTTGCCCTAATCTTCACAATATCCTGTCAGGTAGATGCTGTTATTAGTCCCGCTGTATTGGGGGTGGGGGGAGAAAGAGCTGTGCATTATATCTGTTATATCTGTAGTTTAAAAGACCTTCGATTCGACCTAAAGAGAGACTGAGAGACTCTTGGGGACCTCAGATTTCCACCCCTCCACAACATTCTGCCTACACAGTTCCCTTCATTTTTCCTAGTTACTCGGAAGAGCGCTGGACTTGAAATCAAAATAATTGCATTATGTCTTTGGTTATGTCGCTTCATCATAGCACTTTCTAAAATTATTTGACAAACATGTATTGCATGCCTACTGCATTCCAGTTCTTGTACAGGTACTTGAATGCTCGACTAACATCTTTGCTTTGTCTTGCTTTGATGTTAAGAGTTACTGTAGTAAGGGATACTGCAAGGGCATATACTTAGGGCTGTGGGAGCACAAAGGAGGGAGATTCTAGCTTTATCTCAGAGAAATTAGACTTCATATTGAAGCCCGTCCTAAGTATTGTCAGGGGGAGAGGAAGGAAGGCTCCTCCAGACAGAGGGAAAAGTAGAACCAAAGCATGATGTATTCAGGAAAAGAAATGAATTGTTGTGACTGTAATGTCGAGGTGTGTGTGGGGAGTAGTAGGAGAAGAGGCTAGAATGGTCACTGAGGCCAAATTTGGAAGAGAATTCTGCGGACTGCAGGGAGCCATCCTCAGATTTGGGTTTTAAAACACTCATTCTGGAAACCATGGTGAATGAGCCTTGGAAGAAGGAGAAACTGGTGGCACATGATTAGGAGACAGGCATTATTTGTCCACAAGAGAGGAGGTTAAGTACCTCAGTGCTTAGGGAGTAAAGAAGACGGGGGGTGGAGAGAGGAGTGAGGACATGAGGGAGAACAGAGACAGGCAGGAGCAGTGCTGAAAGATACAAGAGATAGAGTAATTCCATAAAAGGGACAGACCTGAGAAAATTTCTAATTTTACAATTAAAGAAACTGAGGTACAGAGATGGGGAGTTATTTACCTTGGGTCACCTAACCAGGGCTGACTCCTTTAGTGTGCCTTTACTAGTACCAGTGATAAGGAAATAAGTTTTCTTAGCATATTAATCATACCATCTAAAATTTATGGAGCACTTGATCTGTGCCCAGCACCATGTATTACAGGCTGCATGTATATTATCTCTTTGAAGTCTCAACAATGCTAGGAGATAGCTAGAGAATGCTATCTCCAGATGATAGATTAGGGAAACTGAGTTTAGAAAGTAAACTTTAAATATCTTGTCTACTGCCCAGCCAGTCAGTGAGTCATTAAGCCCAGATTTGCTGCCGGCCGGTCTCTTTTCTTTTTCTTTTTTTTGAGACAGAGTCCTGCTCTGTTGCCGGGCTGGAGTGCAGTAGCGATCTTGGCTCACTGCAACCTCTGACTTCCTGGTTCAAACGATTCTTCTGCCTCAGCCTCTCGAGTAGCTGGGATTACAGGCACATGCCATCACACCTGGCTAATTTTTGTATTTTTAGTAGAAACGGGGTTTCACCGTATTGGCCAGGATGGTCTCGATCTCCTGACCTCGTGATCCGTCCTCCTCGGCCTCCCAAAGTGCTGGGATTACAGGCATGAGCCACCCCGACTGGCCCTCTTTTCTTTTTTTTTTTTTTTTTGAGACGGAGTTTCACTCTCATTACCCAAGCTTGAGTGCAATGGTGCGATCTCAGCTCACTGCAACCTCTGCCTCCTGGGTTCAAGCGATTGTCCTGCCTCAGCCTCCCAAGTAGCTGGAATTACAGGTGTGCGCCACAACACCCAGCTAATTTTTGTATTTTTGGTAGAGACGGGGTTTCATCATGTTAGCCAGGCTGGTCTCAAACTCCTGACCTCAAGTGATCTGCCCCCCTTGGCCTCCCAAAGTGCTGGGATTACAGGCGCAAACTGCCGCCCCCGACCAACCCCTCAGATTTCTTAGACCTATTTGTTTGAACCTCATGAGCCCTGAGCTTTGAGTCAGAAAGTACATGTCTGGACTTAGTAAAGGACCTTAGAATTTTTAGCCATCCACATTTTCCCTAAATGTCTCAAGAATGCTTCATTTTGTTTTATGCAAAAAAAAAAAAAAAAAAAAAAAAAAATTCTAGGAAAATTCTTAGGCATAGTCTGTTAGCTGCTCTTTTTTCTCTACCCCTAAATCCTTGAAGCCACAGAATTTTTTCAGGTCAGGCATTACATTTGAATCATTAAATATGTATTCCTTTTTTTTTTTTTTTTTTTTTTGAGTCAGGGTCCTGCTCTGTCACCCAAGCTGGAATGCTGTGGCACCATCTTGGCTCACTGTAACTTCTGCCTGCCAGGCCCAAGCGATCCTCCCACCTTAGCCTGCAGAATAGCTGGGACTACAGACATACAGTACCATGTAATTTTTGTATTTTTTGTAAAGACAGGGTTTCACCATGTTGCCCAGTCTGGTCTTGAACGCCTGAGCTCAAGTGATCCACCTGCCTCAGCCTCTAAAAATGCTGGGATTACCGGTGTGAGCCACTGCGCCCAGCATGAAAACATATCATATGGGCAGTCAGTCTTTCACAGCACTCCCCATACAATATGACCTTTGTTTTAAAATAGAACATTGCTACTTCCTATAATCTGGGGAACCCCTAAATCTGACTTGGGAAAGAGCTACAAATCTGCCCAGGGCACTGTGCTCCTAATCTCTGGTGGGTAGTTCCTGCAATAGGTGTGCTTCTTGGGGCTGGCAGGGCTGGGCATGCTGAGTGGAGGGCTCAGGGAGCAGGGATTTCCTGTTTATGTAGACTGCTCATGTGGACACAAACATTCAGAGTCTGGATGTGAGCATTACCTTCTCATGCTTCGTTCTTAGATCAACAAGTTGGAGAAAGCTGTCGCTGCAGCACACACCTTCTTTGTGGGCAATCCTGAGCACATGGAGATGCGGCAGAACCTAGACTATTACCAAACCATGTCTGGAGTAAAGGAGGCCGACTTCAAGGATCTTGAGACTCAACCCCATATGGTGAAAAAAACTTTATCCCCTTCTTTCTCTCTTTCTTTTTAAGTTTATTTTAGAGACAGAGTCTTGCTCTGTCACCCAGGCTAGAGTGCAGTGGCTTGATCATAGCTCACTGTAACCTCAAATTCCTGGACTCAGGAGACTCTCCAGTCTCGGCCTCCTGAGTAGTTGGGACTACAGGCATGCATTCTTTCATTTTTTTAAAATGACATTGCTAAGGTTGTTTTCTAATTACATTACAGAAGTAATAAATGTTCATTGTATAACATTGTAGAAATGTAGATAAGTATAAAACAAAAAGTAATCATTTGTAATACTGCCACCTTAAGAAAACCAGTTTAGATAGCCTTCCGTATATAATTTTTTTCATCTAATTTGGTGTTATATTATGTATGCATTTTTTATCATCTTTTTTTATTATTTTTTTTGAGACAGGGTCTCACTTTGTTGTCCAGGCTGCAGTGCAGTGGTGTGATCATGGCTCACTGCAGCCTTGACCTCCTGGGCTCAAGTGATCCAC